TTTAGGAAGTAATATGAAGGTAGATCTTAAATATGTATATTTTTATGGCCACGCAACATTGTTATTCTTTCTAGTCTCAATACACCTATAAAAGGACAGAAAAACTTGTTGTTGAAACATTTCACTTAAATAATAGACACTCTTCTTACAGCAGATACGTACAGATGATCAATGTTTGTTATATGAGAGGAATGTGATGCATGTTAATAATTTATTTCCATTAAATTAAAACCTGAACAGCTTGTTATTGTAAAAGAACGTGTGGGCCACACACCTACTGGGTGTGGTGTACTCTCTCACCTGGTGGCACTGAGATTACTTGCAGAGAGAACAATGAGCCTTCTCGGCAGCCTTAACTAACAGGCACCTGGCTTTTAACTCATGTGGTAGAGGCTCATGCACAAAGCTCAAGAGGGCCCCGGTTTGATTCTGTCTACAGATTACTGGGGTTTGTTGAAATTACAAACTCCCCATAAGATCATCCAGAAATCATTTGGCCATGGTTTCAAAAGTAAATTGGGATTTGGAGCAAGTCAATTTTCGAGTGCCTAACTTGTGACACCTCCAAGGGCTTGATAGTCAGAAAGTGCTGAGCATCCCTGCTCTGAAAATCATCAGATCCCTTAAAATAGGGCACTCAGAAACTAAGGCACTCAAAACCATTAATTTCTTCTGAAAACCTTGACCGGTGCTGTCGTTGTTTTGATTATATCAACAATGCAGTTGATGTTTCACGGGGAAAAATAAAGCTTTATGGTAGCTTTGATGTATGGAAGTAATGCCAGAATAAAAGCAAATGAACATGGGAATCTGTTAAAACACAGCTCAGTGCTAATTATTTTAGGCATTAATAGTTAAAAGAGGCTGCTCAAAGAAGAGTTGGTCTTGTGCATTCATAGATTCCAAGGCCAGAAGGGACCACTGTGATCATATAGTCTGACCTCCAGGATAACATAGGCAGCGGAATTTTCCCACAGATACATGCACACACATAAAGCAGGGTACAAACAATAGAAATTAATTCCTCAAATTACCCACCGATATAAACAAGTATTATTCCACAGATTCAGACACTGATGCACAAAGATGGAAGATGATTTGCCCAATATCAGGCAGTAAGCTAGTGGCAGAGATTAAAACAGAAGAGTTTCTATTTTCCCATGTTTTGTTGAGTCTACCAGACCATGATGCTTCAATACTGAAAAATGCTGAAATAAAAGTTGGAGAAACTGCCGGTGTATCTTTCACACCTCGTTCTATCAACAAGATAAAACTATGTTTCAGCTAAAATAAATCATGCATCAGAACAGCTGCCATATGGTTCCAGGTCTGGAGTAGTACTGGGTAGCTTTTAAAAGATGGATTTTTCTGCTGTTTGGCTATTCAATCTTCTATTGATATATCTTAGAAATATGCATCTGTTTGTCCGTCCATGAGTCTCTTTGTTCAAGAATTCCTTCTAAATTGTAAGAGCTTGGATCACCAAATTCGGCAGGCAGCTTCCTCTTCTCTGAATTTAAAGCAAGCTCAGAGTTTGGTTGTGCCAGGAAAATGGGAAGTGCTGGGATTGGGGCAGTTTTCCATCACATAGAAAGGGAGGGAACACAGAGGAGTGATGCAGAGCTAGACTGCAGAGCTGCACTGGATGCAGCTACACCACCAAGATAATGGCCAGCTGGGGCTTGGGTTCACCATCTTACCTGCCACCAAACTGGATAAATAGCCCTTCTGCCCCAGACTGATCTCCCCCACCCCACCCAGCCCTGGACTGCAGTGCCGGGGGAGAGGGAGAAGGCCCCTGCCAACCAGGTGAACTGGGAGGAGAGAAAAGGCTGCTGTCAGCTTGGGGGAGAGGATGGTGGGAGAGAGAAGTCCCCTGCCAACCAGGGGTATTGTGGGGAGACAGAAGGCCCCTAATGGTCTGGAAGAAGGCTGAGGGGAGAGAAGGCTCCTGCCAGCCAAGGAGGACTGGGGGGAGAGAGAAGATCCCTACCAGCTGAGGAGACTGGCGGGGAGGGGGGCAAGAGAAAGCCTCACTGGATGGGACCCCCACCATGAACCCCACCTCATCTCCCAACAGTCACTCTCACACTGCCCCACGTCTCTAGCCCCCTGCCCTGAGCCACTCCTCAACCCCCACCTTGACTCCTGCACCCTCCACGCTCCCAGCCTCCTTCCGTGCCCTCACGTCTGCCAGGCTCTGCCTTGACTCCTGCACCCCCACACACCACCAGCCCACTGCCCTGAAGCACCCAGGCGATGCTGGGTAAGTCTTCATTCTGGTTTACTATATATTTGAGAGAGTTTGTCTCTGTTCAAGAACTCCTCATAAACGGTAAGAGCTAGGACCACCCAATTCAGTGTACAGCTTCCTCTTATCATAACTTAAAGCATTGTAAAGGCTTGGTTGTGCCACGAAAATGGGATGTGCCTAAAATGGGATCGCATCTCTCAAAAGTATACAGAAAAGAGACTGAATCATGAGGACGGTGAAAAGGGCTGGCAGGGGGTGCTTACCCCCCATCCAGCACTGCTACAGCCCCAAGCCTCACACCCCTAAGACATCCTTTAGGGAGGACAGGGGGGCTGAAGCTTCCCCTGATTCATACGGCGACATTGCTGGCTCTTCCCCTTTGTCAGGGAGCAATGGGAAAGTGCAGTTTGCTGCAATCCTCGCGGTGGCTGGAAAGGGCTGGAGGCAGACAAGCTGTATACTTTGTTCTTGCTTCCTGACAGAGACAGGAAGGGAAAGAACAATCAGCCCTGATATGAATCTTGGGGGTGGGAGCTTTGGCTCCCCTGCCCACCTGCCTACACACAAACACACACCCAATCCTAACTCCAACACCTTCCACACTCCCAACTCCCTGCCCTAAGCCCCTCCTTAAGGACCCAAGAAAAACCCAGTAAATGTGCTAGTTTAATACATTATCTAAAATATACCAACAAATGAGTACATTATTTACCCTGGTTGAAGTGTAATAGTTGGTTGTTTTATATATTTCTCAGTGCAAGGCATCAAAACTCACGTGTGGTAAATGAATGTGTCGGGAACATTTAGACTAATTTGGGAACAAATGAACGTGATATATATATTTTTTTAAAGTAATACCTAGAAAACATTTGTGATAATTGTAAAAATTGTCTTTGAAATGTTTGTATTTATTGAAAGAGTATAATTTATCAGAAACCAGAATCTTTGGGTGTTTGTGGGAAGAGAATGCTTTATGCTAAAAGGAAAAGATAAAGAAAACTGGTAACTGTCATGGCTCCAGTTGATGCAAAGCATCACCTAGGCCTGGTCTAGACTGAAGCTACACAGTACCCTAAACTCGAAATAAGATATGCAATTTATGCTATGTAAATTGCGTATCTTACTTTGATTCTATTTCAGACAAGCTTATTTTAAAATTTGGCATGTCTACACAGAGCCAAATTTCAAAATAATGCATTATTTCGAGACATCCCTCAACTCTCATGGAACAAGGATTATAGGGATGCCGAAATAGCGTGCTCATTATTTCAAAAAATATTTTGAAATTACAGGTGGCTAGTTAAGATGCAGGGTAACTATTTTGGGATATGTATCCTGAAATAGCCGCACAGTGAAAACATACCCTTATATATTCATCAACCATATTACTGCTGCTTATCTAACAAATTGGGTATGAAAAATTTACTTCTTGTGCTGACCAATGTATCATTTTGGAAAAAGTAAGATCTTCTGCCTATGAACATTTGCCCATCTCTAGAACTGGATCAAGACTAAAGCAAACCTCTTTGAATGTCAAATGAGAACAATCATCTTCCCTTCAATGCCACTCCCAACTCCCCACTACAGCGGTCCCCGAGTTGTGAATGGCCAAGTTACGACTGTTTGCGTTTACGACCAAAACTCCCATGGAGCAGTTGTAAAGGTGGTCTCCAAGTTACGAACGTGAGCCACGCTTACAAACAGCATGGTCACTATGTAACTCAATGGGGTATGAGTTACAAACAGATTGAGTTACGGCCAAGTGTTTGGTCCGTAACTCGTTTGTAACTCGGGAAGAAGCTGTGTTTTGAATTTTCATGCTGCCTTTGCAATTCTGGGTTCAGCTCAGGAAAAACAGTGGGAGAGCTAAAATTTTAAGAAAACTGCTATCACACTATTTGCGTATCTTTTTCCGATAGTTTTTTCGGAAGAGACTTTTCCAAAATTTGGCCCGTCTACACTGGAAAATCCTCGCCTTTCAGAAGATCCCTCCTTCCTTGTGGAAGGAGGAGGTCAGGGCTTCTGAAAGAGCGCATCTGCTGTTCCACAAAAAAAGCGGAAGGACAGATGTGTTCCCTGGACTCCATAACCTAGACGTACCCTACATGAAAAATTGGCTTTTCTTCTTTGGTCCCACATAGCATGAAAGAAACAGTGGAATATAGCAGCAAAGCAAATTATAACACCAGGCCAGATCTTCAGCTGATGTTAATTGGCCTAACTTCATTCATTTATCCTATTTAAGGACCTATCCCTTTTTTGTTCTTAGAAGCATTCATAACAGCTTCATAGGAAGTGGTGCTTCACTTGCAGTTAAAATTCTACAGCTTGTTATAAAATACTGACATTTATATACATTAAAAAATCTGTTTCTTAAAAAGATATGTGGGAAAACAAGTCCTTTTCCGACCTTTTGTACTCTGTGTAATTCAAGAAATTCTTTCCACCACAGACAGGAAAACACAACCTATTTACTGTGAAATTAGAGAAAAGACTGGCAAAGCTGATCCTACTCCGCACCTACTGCTGCCAGCCACACCTCACTGTTAGAAGAAGAAGAAAGAAAAGAAGAAAAATAGCCATATGCAGGTATTGTTCTAAATAACAACAGTGTATGCAGCCTCAGAAATAGTTCAGAACTGACGAAGAGGAAACACATATTTTATGATGACACAATCCAGTTGCTTCAGTCATTCACGTAAGGGAACTCCCACAGGGAAAGGCATAAAAAGCCTGGGGAAGGTTGAGAAACTGTTCAGTTGATGCTAGCAAGCCAAACATTGTGTTAGATCCCTAATATCTGTGGTCATGAATTCCGGCCAATTCCAATTCTCGTCTGGATCCCACAGGAGTGGTGCAGGGTGTGATTTGACCCTGCTAGGAAGTGCGTACAGACCTTCAAGCGTATATGGAGGGGCCCTTGGCACATCTGTCTCCATTTCCTCCACTAGGCCCCTCTGGCTGGCCTCTGGAGTGGGGGTATCTTGGGGATCCCTTGGTGAATGCAGTGGAGATAGTGTCTTTCTGGGTGGGAATGAGAAACAGACCATGCAAAACCTGAATGAACGTTTGGCTGCTTATCTGGAGAAGGTACGTTCTCTGGAAGCAGCAAATGCTCAGCTGGAGAACTGCATTTTGGAGTGGCACAAGAAAAAGTCTAATGAAACAGTGCAGGACTTCAACCAATACAAGCAAAACATCGTTGACACGCAGGGACAGGTAAGTCAAAGCTTCATTTGGCTATGTCATTCTGCATTCCCCCTTTGTAGAATCTGGGTACTCCTTCAGACTGACAGAGCCTCCTTTACAGAAGCATAACTATTAAAACAATTAGAAACATTAATTAAAGTGATTGAAGAGCTGTACACAGAAGTTCATTGTGTACTCAAGAAAGCAGGAGGGGAAGAGGAAAGGGCAGAAGGAAAGAAGAGAGAGGTATTCAGAATTTATAGATGTCTGTGATATGCAGAAATTAAAAGGCTGTCAAATGTTCAGGTGTTTTTACTTGAAATTGTGGACTGATCTGTGATTTCTTGCATAACATGGTCTCACTGAGAGTGCACAGTGTGGTAAATCAAACAAAGACAAATTGCAAAACAGGAAAAATGAAGAAACAGCCTTGTTTCAAACAGGGAGAAAGGCAGGCTGGACTGCCTAGGACTATTGGAGCAAGGAGAACAACTGGCATACTGCGGAAAATAGGAGAAAAACAGTTTAGAAAATCTGCAGAAGACATTCATGAATGTCCCTAAAGAGCACTGACCTTTGTAATATATCTATATTCTCTATAATCTTTCAAATAATCCAAATTGTATGTTTTATACCAAAAACCACGAATATCTTGTGCATAAGCTAGAAATATGACTCAGTCAGTAGATTCCATAAAGAAACCATTATCTACAACTATTCTTCCTCCTATCTAAAAGTTCCTTGCAGCAGGATTTGGCTATATACCAAATATACCTATAGCCAAGTAATGAAATCATTCTAAAATCACGTGTAAAAATGATGTCATGCCAACAATCCCAATATAGCACTTTTGAAGGGGATAGCTTTTGCAATGCCTCAGAAACATAGAAGAACTCACAACAAGTTTGTAATGGAATGAGTAGAAATACACATTCACACAGGCTGTTCTTAGAGGTACCTTTGTATTTCATTCACTGCCTTCTGTCGTGGAAGAGGAGGGAAATATTCTGGGTTTTCAGTCCAATGAGAATATCCAAATAAAACAGAAAAATTAAATGCCCATTCTAATTATGAGAACAACACTGACAAATACTCTTCCTCATGTTTTCACTGTTACTAAAAAGTGAATTTATAGTTTCCACAACTATTTCATATTAACACTAATCAATATTTTTCATATTAATGTATCTAAAATGAAAGAATATTAATCTGCATACATAAAAACATAATTAACTCAATAATCATCCTGTAAGTAATCAGAATAATTACCTTAACTTTATATGACCATATAAGGCAAGAAACAAAGCTATTCAAGGATGTTATGTTTTTAGTTTTTAAATGGCACTTTTTGTTTGGAATGGGGCTGTTTAGGATTTCTTATAATCTTGTTGAGAACTTTTTTCTAGAGATACCCAGGCATTGGCATTAACTGTCATCTTTGCTGACTTATGGCAGGGAAACCCAGAATTGAATAAATATGGATAAAAATCTTCCATTTCACTGCTAAAGGAGTTCCCTTTGGGCAGAAGATGAGGGATGCTGGCCCCAGGCAATGCACAAGGAAAACAAGCTCTGCTGCTGTATTGGCCTGATCTGAGGATAAAAAAAGGTCATCAGGTCTCCAGGCCAGTCAGTTCAGCAGTTAATTCATTTTAAAAGAAAAAAAAATCTCTAAACCAGAGATAAAAACTTGGTCTTTAAATAAACAGATTATCTAACATCTTGAGTTACAGCCCAGAGAAGTTCTGATTCAGGGAGGAAATCCTTACCTATAGCTTTTACCCATGCGAGAACCTTTTTGAAGAAATATTTAAAAAGATGAAATTAAGCAAATCATAGGATTGATCAGGATAACGCTGTATGCATAGGTCTACACTAGACCAGGCAGGCCAGCTTAAGGTATGCCATTGTGTAGTTAGAATTGGCTTACCTGAAGCTGAGACATTGTAGCATCTACACTATGGGAAGCCAAAAGGAGCACACACTCCTCGCAGAATGAGGAGTACAGGATACAAGTGGGGGCTGCCCTCAGCATTCAATTTGGGGGTCTACACTAGACCCACGACATCAAACCCTCGGAAGGGTTGATCTTCTCTAGAGTATAGACATGCCCTTCGTGGGAAAGCACCCTACCACCAATATGATTCTTGTATCTACCAGTCACAGTTAAGCGTGGTAATCCAGAAGTTATTAGCATCAAGATCTTTCTCCATTAGTATGCATTATTTTATTTACCATTCATAGAGAAGGTGGGATATCAGATGGTTATTTAGACCGGACACCTTTAATCCAGAATTTTCATTTGCTTGGAAAGGAACTTCAGCTAACCTCATAATTGCCACCATTGTGAATGACAATGTAATAAACATTTAATAATCATAATGAATTACAGCCGCTCCCTGTGTAGCAAACGGTCAAGTTACGGCCATTCGCATTTACAACCAAAGCTCCCATGGAGCAGTCGTAAAGGCGGTCCCTGAGTTACGAACAGCGCGGTCGCGTGTAACTCAATGGGGTCGGAGTTATGAACAGTTTGAGTTACGGACCAAGTGTTGGTCCGTAACTTGTTCGTAACTTGGAGAGCGGCTGTAATTGTGCTTGTCAAAGTGCCCATATTTTGCATGTGGAATATGTCCAAAAAGAACTTGTCTGAATAGCTCTCATACATTCATAGAGTAGCAAAATGGTTATGGTATTAGACAACAGCTTGCCAATAATTACTGCCTGACCATGCCTCACTTGAGGACTTTATGGCTATTTTAGCTGTGGGTGCACGCTCTTCATAATCAGGTTCTCTACTTACAATAAAACCTGGCATTTGCAGTTCTCTAAGCTAACAGCTTCCAAATCAGTGCTCCCTCCCATCCTTGACTCAAAATTGGTGACATTTTCATCTGTTTTTAGAAACCTTAATTCACACCTTTTTTCCTGACAATTTCTACTGAACTTCTGGTTGCTACTCTGTTTCAGTTCCATGATTGATCTGTGAACTGTTCCAGACTGTGATCTCACCTACTCTTCCTGGCCTACAGTTTATTCACTGAATCTGGTATTGTGAAGCTTGGAAACTTGCTGAATATAGCTTTTTTAGATTTAACTACAAATAATTGACAAAGCCCTGGCTGGGTTGATTTAGTTGGGATCGGTCCTGCCTTGGCCAGGGAGCTGGACTTAATGATCTTCTAAGGTCTCTTCCAGCTCTATGATTCTATGATCCAGGTGTAAGGCACACTAAGCAGGGTCAGGTCATGTGGAAGGATTTCCAGCATTTTGATGATATTTATGTTTACTAGCAGATTCACCTGGCATCACAGCCATAACTAGGTATTTTTGCGCCTGGGGCAAAATATTAATTATGCGCCCCCTCTTGCTTAGGTTAGCACCCGTTGCACTTTTTACTTTTGCAGCTTATTATTTTTACTTACTTCGTCTTTGTGCCCCAATTTATGATGCACCCGAGGCAAGTGCCTCACTTGCCCCACCCTTGTTGCAGCCCAGCCCCGGCATTGCTGGGGCCCGGCTGGGGGAACGGGGGTACTGACTCCCATCGGCGCTCCCCAGGCTGGCCTGGAGCTGGAGCGGGGGCACCGGTGGGTCCAGTGGGGGGCAGATGGGTAGATAGATGAAGTCAAAAGAAAGAACAAAGCAAAGGGCACCCCACACACCTCTGTCTGAGAGGCAGACAGGAAAGAGCAGCAGCTTGCAAGGTGTGACCCGCTCCAGTGCATGGAGAGCTCTGCGCCCCTGGCCAGTTTAGACTCTCCCAGCAGCCGAGACCCCCACTTAGACAGTACCCCCCAATTATCCAGCCCCCTCCCCCCCACCACATAGGGCTGAGCAAGGATTGGAGCCGCCACCTCGGGATCTCCTCAAAATTGTCAGCAAGGCAGCGATAGTTGCTGCTGCTGCCATGGAGAGGCTGGGGGTGACCCCCCATAAACCTGGCTCGCCGCCATGATTAGCTCCTGAGGCCCGTTGTGGTGTCATGAAGACCGACCCCCTGTTTGAGGACTGGGACATGTCATTATGGGAACACAGGGCAACACGCATGAAGGAGCTGGGGACTCAGGGCTGCACTAGGGAGTGGGTGAGGCTGAATCAGGCCTGGGGGAGGAGCTAAGCCCCACTACTAGTATATATTGGATTTCTAGAAACTTCTCAAGTCTTCCAGTGTATTCTCAAATGTTCTCTGTGACAGATGGCGTGACAGACACCTCTCCTTTTATAATAGTTTAGATTAGATTAGATTTACATTTCTGCATGTTAATGTAAGGAATCTGGCATATTAATGTGAGGATTTTTTCTACAGAACCAACAAAAGGAGAAAAATCCTACTTATGTCCCTTTTACCAGACTGGATCATCTCTATCTTCCTCTGCAACTGGGACATTGACACTGGCTAGATTTCAACTTTCCGCTCTTTGCTTCCAGTGTAGAATAATCTCTTTGCATCAAGGTTCTTAATTCTGGTGGTTTTTTTTTTTAATTCTTTATCTTCTACCAGAATGTCTATGATTTTTGTTCAAAAGAAATAAAGAGGTCATCTAGTCTATTTTCCTATCAGTGTTAATTTATTTCCTATTAATATTCTTATACTGTGTGTTGCTGTAAATATACAAAGGTGAAATGCGAATCATTTAAAAATATAGTGTCTGCTGCCTCAAACTGGTTGCCTGAAGTGCAGGAGGTAATGTGACATTGTTAAGTTAGGAGGTCAGTGCAGGACGCCTTGATAAAATAAATACATTTAGAGATGGAATTTGAACAAGAGGGAGGTCATATGATATAAAGGAAACAGGCCTTTCAGCTATAATCTAGTGCTTTGTTAAATCTACCTTTACTGCCTCAAACAAAAAAGTGTTTAGTGTTGGTATTAGGAACTGAAAGTTGTTAAATGATGGTTGTTTCATGGTCTCTATAAAACAAATTAAAAGGCTCAGTCTAGTTTTAAGCAGATATATGTTCACATTTCAAAATTAGCAGCAACTAACATTCTAGTTGGCATTCTTCAGCAATCTACAGACCAATGACTGTTAATTCTTCTTAGTATATTTCAGATTAAGTCCTTCACTTCTTTGTCCTTCAGATGCCAAAGACAGAGTCTCTTTTACACTAAGCCCTTTACAATGTTATTAAATAATTATATGATTATTGTTGCTAGATTATAAAATGATTACAAAATTCAAGACACTTAAGGAGGTTTCTGATTGGCTCTCTGTTATTCTCTTCCGCGGAGTAATCCATAATGCACAGGAAATGGGTTCAATTATTATTTTTAGTTCTTTTCCCTGTCAGCAATAACAAACCCCAAGCTGCCAAACATTTAGGATAATATTTTCCTACTCAGCTGGCCTTCCTAATACCTTAAGGGGAAACCTGACATTTGCTGTAATTGGCCAAGAGGTGCTGCATGTTCTGTATTATTGATTGATTAATGCATTCCAAGGACACTTTGATTTTTCCATTCAGAAGTCAACTTGGGACACTTCAAGATATTTTTTCATGTTTTATTTTTGCTGGGTTTCTTGCTGACTAGATGCAGAAAGTTTTATTTATAAAACCCCTGGGAATTCTCTCATTGGATAAAGATATTTCTCACTGTAGGAATATCTTCACCTTTTATTGTCATCTAAGGGTGTGTTTAGACTACAGAGTTTTGTCGACAAAAGTGGACTTTTGTCGACAAAACTATACCTCAGTTTTATACTCAGTTTTATAAACTATACCTCAGTTTTATACTCAGCAGTTTTGTCGACGCTGGTAAACCTCATTTTACGAGGCATAACGCTTTTTGTCGACAATGTTTCTGTCAACAGAAGGTGTTATTGCATGTAAACTGTCCTTTGCGTCTACACTACCATGTCGACAAAGCAGCTTGCTTTGTCGACAGAACTGAATGTAGTGTAGACACTCTTTGTCGACAGAAGTTTTGTCGACAGTATCTGTCGACAAAACTTCTGTCGACAAAAGCCTGTAGTCTAGACGTACCCTAAATGTCTAGCAAAAGCTGCAGTGAGAAATTTCCCTAGATTATCTATTTTCACCTCCTTTCCCTTAATTAGTAAAAGACTTGATACATCATAGGTCTTAGTTCATGCTAGTTACCTATTAAATTAATGGTTTTAAGAGGACTAGATTACTCTTAAGGATTTGAAATTGAATACTGAGGCACACTGAAAATCATTAACTATTGATAGTTTGCTCAGTATTTTCTTGTGTTCCCTTAGAGCGGCCTGGCTTCCATATCACAAAAGTCACCACTGGAACTGTCACTAACTAATTTCACTTTGCTGGTAATCTTATCCTAGGCAATAGATGATATTCAGTGAGATTTAGTTGTCCAAACACTGAAGTCATTTTTGAGAGTGAAGCCTTGGCTCCTTAGGATCTGAGCCTAAGTCATTAAGGTGCATTTAAAATGTTTACTTTAAATCACATTTCAAACAACAGGCATAGCAAAATAGCGAATGACATCTACTATTTGGCAAATCTGTGGGACCTTAACTCTGTGCATGTGGTTTACAGATTGAAGAGGGCAAAATCACCAATGCCAAAATTCTTCTGAGTATTGATAATGCTAAAATAGCATCTGAAGATTTGAATCTCAAGTAAGTTCTTTTTTGACTTCTTCATATTTGTAAGGAGGGGGCAAAATGAAATAACTCCAGGCTTTATAGAATAGAATTTGTTTTTGTTGAAGTTCTTTGGTGCCATCCGATCAATAAAATTAATGTATAGCAAAAGCAATAGAAGAATGAAAACTTAATATTAACATAACAAATGACAGCTGAACAATTGTGAGTCACTCTGTTTGTGAATTGTACATGAGGGCCTGAAGAGCAGGTTTTACTAAAGGTGTTTAATTAAATCACAAAAAGTATTTATAGATGTTAAGGCTGCACACAAATTAACTCTTGTTTGCACTCCATCTTCTCCCTCAATTCAACAAAATTATTTTGTCTCCTGTGGTTTTCAGTTCATTCTTCCTTTCCCTCACTTTCCTCTGCTGGTCTCCACAATGGGTTTGTCAGCATAATTGAATCAGTTCCCAATGAACTGCTAGTGCATTGTCTTAGTGGGCAATGCGTAGTATTAAGAGACTTTTTCCAGGACAGGCTAAGAAGACTGAAAGTTTTAATTTGAATAGCAAACTTCCAGGCAGGTGTATGCACCTGAGGAGAATTTACATTATGGTCAGCTCTTTCCTGATGGACCCTGAACTGAGTCCTATATTCATCAAAAGAAGCTCAGTCACTTAGGTTGCGTCTACTCAGCAATGTTTTGTCGACAGTATCTGTCGACAAAACTTCTGTCGACAAAAGCCTGTTATTTTGAGATAGTCTATTTTGAAATTTGGTGCTGTCTACACAGCACCAAATTTTGAAATAGACAGCTATTCTGACAAGTCCTTAAATCCTTGTGGAACGATGTTTGATAGGACATCGGAATAGCAATCCCCTTATTTCAATTGTATTTTGAAATAATGGGCATGCTGTTAAGACACAGAAAATGCTATTTTGGGATACCAGATGTATCCCGAAATAGCGCTCCTGTCTAGATGTACCCTTAGAGATCTAGTACAGTAAGACAATTTTTTTTATAATTACTTTTCTTTTCTTTTAAGACTCAAAGTTGCTATGCTGGACTTTCTCTGTGCTTCCTTTCCTTTCACTTGATTACTGATTACCAAGATGTTTCATTAAGCTGTGCCACTAAATACTGGGACTGAGAAGCTTTATAAATGGAAGGCAGTGTTGTTCAGAATAGGATTTCTGTGTGATTACCACATTCCAAAGTGAGTCTGGTGAATTAATTGGAGGAAATATCAGCTGACCCCACAAACATAGAGAGGAAGAGATTTTGGTGTCTCTTATACTGAGACTGGGGAACAATCCAGAGAAAAGGCTGTTCCAGAATTGAAAGTTTTGCTATCTCTTGATGCAAGGATATGTCTGGCAAGGGGGTTAATTGGGAAGTGTGGGTGTAAACCTTTAGCAGAGGCCTACATGTGAAATATATTTAACGTGGTGAAACCAGTGTGCAGGTGGCAACCACACAAGGAAAACCCTGAGCCAGTGGCAAGGAGAACCAAGACCATAGGGGACTCTCTCCTGCTGTAATCCTCATTCACCTTCGCAGCCACAGAGTAGTACAAGATCGTCTTCTAAAGTTTGCACCACAATTAGGAGCCGAGCCTCAGTCCTGCTCACCAAGAAGGACCCTACCAGGAATATAAAAGCTCTGGATGATATAGCTCTGAAGGTCTTTAGCTCATGTAAACCTCTCTACCATGACAATGTTGTGACCCATCAGAGAGGACTGAAAGTAGCAGTAGTACGAGTTTCAAGTTTTGTTTTGTTTGGGGATTTTTTTTTTTTTGTCCTGGAGGCACCAACTTCCCAAATGTGGCTAGCTTGAAGAGTTTTAAGGCATGCTATTAGTTTTTGAGCAATTTTTACACATAATGATTTCACCAGGCCTTTATATCTATCACACTAGGTATGTCTAGACTGCATCCGTCTATCAGCAGAGGGATGCAGATTAGGCAGGTCAACATCACAAATGAAGTAGGGATTTAAATATCCCGTGCCTATTTAGCATAAAAATGGCTGCCACATTTTGCCGACTCAGCACTTTGTCGGCAAAAAGCGGCAGTCTAGAGGGGGATCTGTCGAGAAAGAAAGCCTTTTTCGACAGATCCTGTAAACCTCCTTGCATGAGGCATAAGTGATTTGTCGAAAAAGGCTTTCTTTCTCAACAGATCCCCTTCTAGATTGCCACTTTTTGCTGACAAAATGCTGAGTCGGCAAAATGTGGCAGCCATTTTTATGCAAAATAGGCACAGGATATTTAAATCCCTGCCTCATTTGCACTGTCAACCTGCCTACTCTGCATCCCTCTGTCAGTAGAGGGATGCAGTCTAGACATACCCACTGGGACAAACTGAAGAAGATATTAAATTATAGAGGCTGTTTTAAAATCCCTGGCAGCAATTTTTTTGAGTGTTGAAATCCTTACTTCTAGAGTTGGGCTAGTCACAAACAAGAAAATGAAGAAAATGCTGCCTTTTGGTACAGTGACATTTCATTTTTAAAGATGTCTAAAAAATAACAAAAATGTTTTTAAAAGACCTTCTATCTTATAATTTGCCCAAGCATTTGCTTATCTTTAATGCTATTCATAGAGAACTAATAAACTCACCTGTTCTCAGCATGCACGTTTTGCCTCCTTTTTCCTGGTAAAGGTATCAGATGGAGCAGTCACTCAGGCAGGGAATGCAAATCAATGTTGAGAACCTGCGTAAGGAAGTTGACAACCTGACCATTGTCACAACAGATCTGGAAATGGAGATTGAAGGCATACAGGAGGAGCAGATCCTCAGGAAGAAAGACCATGAGAAGGTAGGCAAAATCTAGGTTCTAATAATACAGATTTTTGCTAATGAATGGAGAAATGTGAGTAATATCTACATCCTATAAATGAAGCAGATAATTCAAGACCTACTTTTAGTTCCTACTGGGAGTCTTTTCATTGACTGCAGTGAGGGTTGGGTCCAATCCATATTTTGCATTCATACATCATCTGGTGGATTGGGATTGGATCTCTTTAATTATATTTTCATTATACTGACAAATAACTGTCAGGAATGATGTAGGTAATTTTTAGTCCTGCCATGAGTATAGGAAACTGGACTAGATGACCTCTCAATGTTCCCCCATATGATTATATCATTCTATGAATTCCAATCCCATATATGACAAAGTCTCACTATATATGTCCTTGGAAAGTTCATTTTGCCTGTTTCTCTCTCATTTCCCTTGCCTGTAAAACAGATATATAATAAAACTTTCCTATCTTACAGGAATAGCAGGAGAAATAATTAGATAATATTTGTAGAATGACTGCAGATTAAAACCACTAAAATAATTATTATCATTAGCTGGTCTAGCACCATTCATGTCTACAGTCAGCAAAACAGATACTAGAAATGTGCTGAAATTATTCTGATTATATATTGTGTTTCCTAATGTATGAAGTGATTGTTACTGATATGTGTCCCCAGACATTGATACTCTGGATATGTCATTTTTGCAAATAAGGTTTGCTTTGAGATTTTGATTTTGTCTGAACTCGGAACTCAGAATGAATGTTTGAAAGAGACTTAGGGTATGTCTACACTTGCACCCTCTTTCAAGAGAGGGGTGCAAATGCAGCCGAATGAAATTGCAAATGAAGCATGGATTTGAATTTCCTCCGCTTCATTTGCATATTTGCATTATGGCGCTATTTCGAAATAACAAATGCTGTATAGACACGATTATTTTGAAAGAAAACCCTTCTTCTGAAATAACCCGTAATCCTCCTACAACAAAGTTTACCAGTTATTTCGGAAGAAAGGTTTTCTTTCGAAATAACTGCGTCTACACAGTTTGTTATTTCGAAACAGCGCTATTTCGAAATAGCACCATAACGCAAATATGCAAATGAAGCTCGGGAAATTCAAATCCGCGCTTCATTTGCAATTTTGCTCAGCTGAATTTGCATCCCTCTCTTGAAAGAGGGTGCAAGTGTAGACATACCCTTAGGGAAAAATGAATATAGACGGATCAAAACTGAAGAAAATGTTTGCACAAACCCCTCCAAAGTGAAAACTACATATTTTGCCAAAGCTCTAAACACAATTAAATAGACAATACTTAATGTACTTAAACCTTGGCAACTAAACCTTACCACTATGAATTCTTGCTTTGTTGTGCTGTATATGTTGCTACTTTCGTGCAGCACCATGCCACTGCTTGGCAACATGACATTTTCATGATGACTTCTGTATTGTTGCCCTTAGTTGTTATCTGCTGTAGTACCTACATAACAAGTACCTTATTTGGTGATCATAGTTATTGAAAAAGTGACACAGAAATCCAAGGATGAATAATAAAAGATGACGCTTCCATTAGCAGACACACTTGTCTACTCAGAAATATAAACAAGCTATATACTTTTAGTAATTCAACCAAGAAGTCAGCCTACATTTCAAATGCTGTAGTATCATATCCTGGAGTGTTGTTTTTTCTGGGGGCGGGAGAGGGGGGGTTGGAAATGACATTTAAAATGAGATTATGCTACACGGAAGAGAATTTTGCCAAACCTGTTTGACTTGTTCTATAATTGTGTTGTTTACCCAGTAATTATATGTTTTAATTTGATTGCTCCTCAACTAATTACACAGAATGTTTATAGTCTCCTCCTATAAAATTGTCTATGGTTTCATAAATACTATGTATGCTTGAAAAGATGAAATTACAAATAGAGCTGAATGAATAAGAATGGTTTCCATTAAAATATACATCCAAATGTGGCAATACTTCTTTCAAATGTCTTGCTTCTTGAAATATTATGAGAACAAGTTGTTTTTTGTTGCGTTCTCTAACCCAAGCTAACATGCACTGAAGTCTTTGGGAGCAGAAGCAGGCTGCTGGTTTTGGCTATGTCAGATACAATATAGCATTACCTATCCAAAATATTGAATCAAATGTTACTAAACCCTTCAAAGAGTTCGAGTGCTGGCTTGAATCACATTTTAGATAAAGTCTCAGAGGGGTAATCGTGTTAGTCTGTATCTGCAAAATCAACAAGTAGTCCTGTGGCAGATTAGAGACTAACAGATCTGTTAGACTGTAAAGGCACGTCTATACTTACCGGAAGATCAACGCTTCAGAAGTTGATCTTCTGGCATCTGATTTAGCAGGCTTAGTATAGACCCATAAATCGAACACTGAGGGGAAGCTCCTGATGGTGTCCAGTACTCCTCCTTTTGGCCTCCCGTAGTGTGGACACCACCAAAGCTTGGCTTAAGATAAGCTGGCTCCAGCTACGCATTTTATGTAGCTGGAGTTGCGTATTTTAAGCCAACCTGCCGGGTCTAGTGTAGACCTGGCCTAAGGTGTCATAGGACTCATTATTTTAGATAAGATATTGTGGCCAGACTAGTTTGTAGACCAGTGGTGGGCAACTTATGGCTCGCAGGCCACACATGGCTTGTCAGGGTAAGTCTCTGGTGGACGGCTGCAAGCCGTTCACTGTTCTCAGCGGTTCACTGTTCTCAGCCAATGAGAGCTGTGGGAAGCAGCAGCCAACAGATCCCTGTGGCCTGCACCACTTCCTGCAGCTCCTATTGGCAGGGGCGAGCAAATGACAGCCAATGGGAACTGCAGGCAGACGTAATTGCGGACGCAAGGTAAACAACCTGTCTAGTGGCCTGTCAGCAGCTTACCTGATGAGCTGCATGTGGCCTGTGGGCTGCAGGCTGTCCATAAGAATAATCGAGTTTAGCTGGAAAATCATCCATCTCAAGTAGAGAACAAACTATTTTATCACTCAAGAAGTGGTCTTTTCAGTTTAAGGTCCAGTCATGTAGTCATATTAATGGATGGTCTAGAGGAAGTTTGCATTAATTTTGTTCGTGCTGTACCTCTATTGTGGATATAAATGACTTCTCAGTATAGCATATTTCACCAATATAATATTAATTTGAAAAAGAGCAGTCAGTAGACTTGGAGACTGTCTACACGAGTCTCTGATGAATAATAAGGAGGTGGGCATAGCCACATCTCATCAGTATTGGTATAAAGATATCGGAATGAACAGTTAGTCTACTGAGGCATACTTCCAGCCATAGGTTCTCTGTTAAGTATGTCGACAAAGCAACAAAATGGGGGTAGGCTGGCGTGAGACATTTATTAGAGTTTAATCTTTTGACTGATATATGTATGAGACTAGTGAAGTAAAACTGATTGGATCTGGCATCTACATTGAAAAATAAATTCAAAGCATTCTTATGACCTAGAGGGCTCCAGTACCTGTCTGGATGGTTGGTTGTATATTTGGTTGTATATTTTGCAGATTAAATATATACCGTGCTGTAGAAAAACAAAAATCATACATACTCTTCCATTATGGAACTTTGCAATAGGAATAAAATCAACTTCCTTTCCAGTCAGAAGGAATTCCCTAATGTTTTGGAGCTTCTGTGTCTTTATTGCAGTTGGTTCTTCATAATAATTTACTCTCATTGTCATATGATAATATAGAGTTCCAAAATGTTGGGTCTTGAATCTGAAATAAACAGTTGGAAGAGTAAATGCTAAAACCTGGAAATGTGTATGTTCTCTTATTATAAATAAAGAGTAAATGCAGATAGTACACTTTCCTGGCTGGACAGAGAAATGGTATGAAATACAAGCTTTTACTAAGAAATTAAGAATCTGGAAAGCATACGTAGGTTAGAGTCTTTCTTCAGGAAGTCTAAAGAAATAATCTTTTTAAAAAAACAATTTACATAGCTTGCTCTTTTAAATTAAATCGCCGTGTGCTTTAAGATTATCCAGGTCAAATCAGTGTGAGATAAGCAGCAGTTAACTGTGTGTATAGCAGTTAATTTTCTGTAATAAGAATCTTTTAGTGCTACTTACTGAAAATAGGAATGAAGGAGATAAGGCGAGAATGGGGAATGTCTTTTGTTTTCATAAACATGTCTACTTATTTTCTCTTCTCTGCTAATATGTATAGGATATGGCGGCACATCATTCATCAAAGGATGTCAAGGTCAATGTGAAAGTGAATGCAGTGCAGCAAGATTTGGCCAAGATTCTAGCAGGGATAAGAAAGGATTATGAAGCCATCATTGAAAAGAATCACCAAGACCTTGAGGCCTGGTACAAAGAGCAGGTAACAATGGAATACATCAAACTTCCTTCTGCTGATTTCTCAGAACTATTTTCATAAAAGATTGACCACTATCAATAAACTTTTCCATTACTTTTGCTCCACAGACTGCAACTGTGTCCCCTGTGGCAAATATCAGCCCAGAAGAAATAAAGAGCAATGAGAGTGAGATCAAGAACCTGAGGCGAACTTTTCAGGCATTGGAGATTGAGTTGCAAGCACAATTTAGCAAGGTATCTTCTGGAGAAATCAATGGCAGTTTGCTTTTTTCTAACTAGTTTTCCATGAACTCTTTAACTTCTTACTTGAATATTTGAAGGACTAGAACCTTAAGTTTGTACGTTCTTCTGGTTAAGGAACTTGCCTTCTGGTATTTTTGTACAGTAAACATTGTGGCCACCTGTGACAGACCGGGCCGGTCTGGGCACAGCTGAGGGCGTCCGCTCAGGGCGAATTGCTCAAATCCGGGGCTACTTACAGCCCCCTGACTGGTGACCTCTCCAAACAGGCCACAGACCAGTCCCACAGAGCGCTTCAGCAGCCTGCCTGAAGCCTTGCGAGCAAAACCCCTCCGACACCCCAACAATATCCGTGCCCCAGATGGTCCCAGGCCTTATACACAGGTGGGGGGTCTAGCACCCAATCCCACCTACCCTGAACGAGTTCTGTCCGGTTCCAAGAAACCAGCCGCAGATCCCTGGTCAATTTACCCTCTGGACCTTACCCACAAATCACGCTGAGCCAATCCTTTAGAATCTACCATCTAAAGGTTTATTACCACAAGAAAGAAAAGCATGAGAGTGAGGTTGCTAAAG